AACAACAACAACAACAACAACATGATCCTAAGGGCAGAAAGCTTTTGTTATTTCCCTCCCACCGCATTAACTGCTTACCTGGTCACCTGGAAATCCCGGAAAACCAACGATCCCTCTTAAGCCAGGTAAGCCTGGCGGTCCTGGGGGTCCAGGAAGCCCCTGCTGTCCATTTCTACCAGGTTCCCCACTGAGAAATCCTGGTGGCCCATGTCTTCCTGGCTCTCCTCTTCTCCCTTGCACCCCTGGACTTCCTTTATCACCTGATGGGATTGGAAGTGTTATAAAACTCCTCCCTGAGATCCTGGACAATAGTTAGGCAGAGAGACTTGGTCCTATTTTCAGAAGGTGAAGCCAAATGTATGGAGAGTCCTAACCCCTGCCCTGAGGTGCATTGCCCCGGAACAGACTAGGACAATCAGAGGTAGTGGGGATGTGCAGGATTATCTGCTCCAACACTCTCATCTTCCAAATGAGGACGAAGGTACCCAGAAAAGTTAAAACATGTGTCCCTCAACAACTAGTGAAAGAGAGGCAAGACAAGAATCCAGGTTTCATGCAGATTAAGTCTGAACTTCAAGGCAATACAAATTGTAGTAGTCAAGATCCTCGCTACATGCTGTCTGAAGACACCCAGGTTGGCCAAGGGAACTTGTTAGAAAGGCAGTCTCTGGCTTGCCCCTGAGCTGCCCACTCAGCATCTTTATTTTAACAGTTCTAATGATTCTTATGCAAACTGAAGTTTCAGAAGCATGTGTTGAAATGACTCGGACAGTCATTGTGATGTTGACTCTTGATGTTACTACTAACTCCCAGATATTTTAAACTTGGAGCCAGCGTTTGATGTGTACCTCAGTACATGGAATATCCAAATCTAGAAATACACTTGGACCTGAGCGAAGGCCAAGCATGGGCAAGGTCAAAGGCACCACATGCTCCCTAGTGTTCATTTATATCTAAAAAATGAACTTTCTGAATCTCAGTGTTACTGGGAAAGTTCCATGACACACACGCTTGCTTGACTCCTCTGCAAAGATGTTAGCTTATCTGACACGGTTCTGTAACCTCAGTGTTTACCTTTCACCCCCAGCGGTCCACCATCTCCAGGAAGTCCAGGTTCTCCAGTTTTCCCTTTTTGGGATATAATCACTGTTTCTCCTTCATCTCCTGGAGGTCCTCTCTCTCCTTTCGATAGTAAATAGTCACGGACCAAACAAACAGAAGCACACAAAATTCTTTGGTTACAAGTACGTTTCACTGCAAGTTTAGGAATCCCCCTTTGATTTCCTGAAGTGCACTATGTTTACATGTTGCACAACACCCACACATGGGCTGGTTCCCTAAGGAAGGACTGTGCCTTTTACATCCCTCTCCCCACTGTCCAGCCACAGGCCTGATTTATAGTGAGCACTCTGTGAATATCTGTGCTTGAAAAGGTCCAGGTCTAAACATTGTCTTTCTACCCTGTGAAATTTGAATTGTTCATATTTTTAAATCATTATTTTCCTCTTCCTACCCAATCACTGTTATTTGCCTTACATTAAAAGAACAGAAAAGAAAAATCCCTATGCATGCAAATGGTTTGTGCTCAAACCTACAGAAAGGCTGGCAGTTGGAGCCCACCCAGGAGTGCTGTAGAAAGAAGGCTGGCGACCTGCTTCCGTGAAGATGACAGCCAAAAAAAAAACCTACAGAGCAGTGCGTAATGCATGAGGTTGCCATGAGTTGGAGTCACCTCCGTGACAACAGGTTTGGTTTTTTGAAAAAGGAACAGACAATTATTTCAACTTAATTCACCACAGAGAGACTTCCGAAATGGTAGGCAGGGTGCAAAACACCATCTATTTCTACCAGACCTTTCCAAACACTGTCCAGTCACAGGAGTTTGCTGGAGTGAGTTTGTACCAGGTTGGCAGGAGCCGCCAATTACCAACAACTCAAAAAGTTTGTAAGCCAGTTGTTAAACCACTGGTAGCTTGCAACCAACCATAGTGGAGTGGTTACACCACAGGCAGCAGCAAGCACTATACGCCATGGCATTTTTTTGTTTCTGGAGAACTAGTTCATCAGCACATCACTGGCATTAACTCAGTTCTGTATTGTTATTTACTTTGTTTTTTTCTAAATTGGGATAGTAGTATAGTAGGTTCCCTAGTGGGCAATTGGTATGAACTCAACCACTAAGCAGTCTGAATCCAGCCAGCAGCGCTGCAGAACAAAGACATGGCAATCTGTTTTTGTCAAGATGACAGCCAAGAAAACCCTGCAGAGAAGTTCCATACTGTAACACCTGGGGTTACCATCAGTCAGAATTGACTTGACAGCTACAGGTTTCCATTTGGTTAGCGACACAGTTGCACAATAACATTGTTGTTGTTATGTCCTGTCAAGTCAGACCCAACTCATAGCGACCCCTCTTTGGGTTTCCGAGGCAGTATCATCACAGAAGTAGCTTGCCCCATCTTCCTTCCGAGGAGTGGCTGGTGGGTTTGAACCGCCAGCCTTCTGGTTAGCAGTCAAGTGCCTTAGGCACTACGCTACCAGAGTTCCTTGCATAATAACACA